AGTTCAAGAACCAATTATAAACTTAACCTTAAACTGTACCTAAAGAGACAATACGAGGTTACATGCGCTTTTAATCTATGGATAGTTCACTAAACCTTTAGAGCAAACTGAAAGGTTACTCCCGAATTTGAGGCAATTAAATATTTGACAGGGCAATGAAAAAAGGCAGCGATCTGAATGACTAATTAAAATGCTAAATGCTACTCAACATTTACAGTTCATAAGATCGAGCTTGAGCCCCTCTCAGACCGTAAGATCCCCGTGAATATGAGTAAAAGAAACTATTCCCATCGTCGCTTTAAAATGATCATAATTATTAGTAATGCAATGTTCAGCATTAAGACAGTGCCATGTTGCATTTCGTATCATTTGTCAGAAATAATAAAGCGGCGACTTCAAATCTAAACTCAAAGACAAGAGATTTCGTTAAGCCAATTCCAACTGGCTTCACGAAAAAAAAACTAAAATAGCACGATTGGCATTATCTTTAGTTTTGTAGCAGCTTAAACAATAAATAAACAAAACTAAAGAAAAACGAACTTTAACGCAACAGTAACAACTGGATGTGTCCGATTTCCTCCCGTTACTATCTGTCCTTGGTAAGACAGCATATGGCACTTAAAGTGACGGCCTCTGGTTAAATACATCAACACTTTACAAACTACTAACGAGAGGAAATGTTTTGAAGTTCTGAGTTCTGAACTTTTCTTTCTGTCCCATTGAGGTCAGTGGAGCAAATAAACACTGCCGAAATAAAACCAAATGCGTTACCTTGAGATTCTTATAAGCTTCTAGCGTCCGGATGGCCGTGTCGGTTAGCTTGACGTGAAAGATGGTTTTGTTGGGAATGCTTTTATTAATCTTTCCACAGGAGAGTCCATACCGATGCTCCTGTCTCAACGCTGCCATGTCTGGAACTGAGATGAATTGGCGACATTCTAGTTCAAGCGTCACTCTCCGCTGGGCGGGGCTACGAGAGAGCGTTTTGGGGACGTCACACACACACACACACGCACACACACACACACACACGCACACACGCACGCACGCACACGCACGTAAGCGCAAACAATAATCGTATGTATTTCAAAATCAAACTTTTAGTTGTCTAACTCAGCTTATTAGGATGAGGGTTTAATCTATTTGACAAGGAATGTAATAAAGAAAAAAACATTCCTAGTTCTGTTGGACAGCCCTTTACTCATAAGTTGTGCATTTCACCAAAAAAAGAAAAAGAAAAAGTAAAACAGTTTAAAATATTGAATAAGATATATCCTGTGAGCTGTCAGGTCTCCAAATTATATACGGCTGTTCATTGCACCTGGTCAGTATGTGGAAGTAAAGAAAGTAAAGATATGACAAAAAAAACAATTGACATGATATTGACAATAAAGCAAACTGCAGCTTATATGGGTTTGATTTTACTATGCAAAAAAATGTATAGAAAAACAAAAAACTGGGGGGGGGGGGAGCAAAATTGAATACAATGTAATCAGTTATTAAAAGTGTTGGGGGTAACTCATTACAACTATTGACATGATATTGACAATAAAGCAAACTGCAGCTTATCATGGGATATGGGTTTGATTTTACTATGCAAAAAAATGTATAGAAAAACAAAAAACTGAGGGGGGGGGAGCATAAATTGAATACAATGTAATCAGTTATTAAAAGTGTTGGGGGTAACTCATTACAAGTAACGCGAGTTACGTAATCAGATTACTTTTTTCAAGTAACTAGTAAAGTAACACATTACTTTTTCATTTGCAAGAGAATATCTGAGTTACTTTTTCAAATAAGTAACGCAAGTTACTTTTTTTTTTCCAATATATTGATTGACAGCTCTCCTGCCCCCATGTTGAGAGAAATCACAAGATGTTACTGCAGTTCTAAAATAAATATGAATATGCATTAATTCATCTCACTCACCAAAAAAAAAAACACAGATTCAGTATTCCTCAAAATGAATAAAAATAATGCAACTCAGAATATGACGCAAACCTGCAATAATGAAATGTTAAACAAAACAAATATCCTTTATGTTTTTAATCCCATTCTATTAACCAATGTCTTTGCTTCTGACCTTCGATGATCCAGTTACACAAATGACTCTAGACAAACATTCATGTGTCTTTTTCCATTGCTGAAGTGTGTTAAAATTTCTTCTTCTGCATTCTACTGTACGGACTTAAATTTACTTTCCCTTCAGCCTGAGGCTTATTCATTTCAATTTTGGTGTGAAAAGACTTTTATGTTTGCCAAAAATAGAACTTTTTTATTTTAAAAACAAACAAGCAAGCCCTGTCCAGATTTAAAAAGTAACACAAAAGTAACGTAACGCATTACTTTCCAAAAAACGTAACTAAGTATGAAATTAGTTACTTTTTTATGGAGTAACGCAATATTGTAATGCATTACTTTTAAAAGTAACTTTCCCCAACACTGGTTATTAATATTATAAAAAATCAGAATATAACCAGCTATTAATATTTTTTTGTTCTGCCTTGTATCTGTTTACAGCAGTCATTCTCCAGGGCAGTACTCAATAAGTGCTGTGCATGTGTCATTTCTATGACACAATTTGTCATGTTTCATTGCATTGTTACAAATAAAACAATAAAGCATGTACATTAGTTTTACACTCCGAGCACAATTGCACAAAATGCTTACAAGAGTCTTAATAATAAAATGTTTGAATAGTGGTTGAAGACAGAGGTTTTCTAGGCCGGACATCCCATTTAGCCACTACAGTACATAGAGAAGTTCTTAAATTCCTGGCCAACTCAACCCCACTTATTATTTGAAACAGACTAACTTCCTAAACACCTGTGAAGGTGCATAGTCTGCTTATATACAAATACATTTAAATGGTCAATTATACTATATATATATAAATAAATATTACAGAATTAAATTACACCTGGGCATTGAAGTCATCCAAAAAAAATCTCAATTCCATGTATGAACAAAACTCTGCATGTCAAATCAGCTTTTCCGTCTGCAAATCTAATAAAATATTCTCTTGAAACCAGTCAGTTGAAAAACAACAGTTATCAGTCAAAGATAAAACAAACAAATATGGGTATGTCTGAGAGAAATTCATTGTAGCGGCAACTTCAAGTCTTGGAGATTACATGGTATTAAAGAAGTGTTCTGTGAACAAAACGATGAGAAAAAGCTCAGACTGCCATTTTAAACTAGATTCAAATGTGCATACAGAAAAGTGATTCACTTAATCTAGCCAGGCAATCATCTGCACCTTTTAAGCTTACAAACAGATGAAGTGAAATGGACAGTGAGGGGAAAAATAGAGAATTTAGGTTAATTGGAAAGACATAATCCCCAACAGACAAGGTGCTTGGGCCTCTGGATTAAGGAGCTCTCTCATAGTCTCTAATGGAAACTCTACTTGCCATATGGCTGTCTGAGTTACAGGGACATCTGAAGCCGACTGGACAAACAATATATGTTCCCTCAGATTGTGGTCTACAAAAAATGCCACTGACTCTCCAAAAGCTTCCATGTTATTGTTATGTGTAAATTTACATTAAATATACAGATGTGTACAAGCACTTGGCAAACAGATGCATAGCTTAAGTGTCAGATTCTTAGGAATGGATCTAAGTAGAGATTAAAGTACATGAGATTCACTGGTGTCAGGTTGCACTTCAAATAAGATAAGCAATTTACAGAAAAAAAAGTCAACACATTGTACATCCAAGATAATTAATAAAATATTATAACTTACAATATACATCAGATTTTATTCATCAGGACTTTATTTGTAATGAGTTTGTTCCCTGAAACTCCCTTCAGTTCCACCTATTTCAATCATTGTTTGGGGATTTTACATTTGGCATTTGCAAAGAATCTAGATGCCAAGATTTCCACAATATGTGAGCTTGCCAAGCTGATAAACAATCATTAGTATTTTTTACGTAAAAAAAAAACTAAAACAACAACGAGTCATTGTTAATCAATTTTATCCAGTGTCATTGTTTCAAACAGAAAGTCGCTTGGTCATCAGCTTAGTGACTATTCACAAACAGAACACTATTCCTCCACAGCTGTTCAAGTGCCATTATAAGGCACGGGTTAAATAAGAATTCAGTCCAGTCATGCCATAAACAGTGCCAACAGCCTCTAATGCAGTAATCAAGTAAAACTCTCTAGTGTGTTTCATCTGTTGACAAAACCAAGATCAACATTCTCAAACCTGCATATAAAGTCACATCCATGTACTTATACTGAATATTTAAGTTTAAATTGAATGCACTAATGACACATTGCTAAACGGTGCAATAATTTTATGTTTATTAGGTTTCACTCAACAAACCATTTAAATGGTTAAACAAGCAGGCTAAATGTTATCGTTGCCAGCCAAGTGTAAATGATTGTTGTTTTTAAAATGTATTTGAGCGTGTTTTGTGGATTTAATAAGTGTAAAACAATCATGTATAAGGACATTTAAAGGCTTGTCTTGTCTTGAAATTATGCATGGCTCATTGATGTTTCATCTAAACTTGGCATGTTGCAAACCTGGAAAAACCTGTTCAGGTGTTCAGAGTGTGTTATCTTCGGTCAATGCCGTTCTCCTCATGAGAATATGGCACAGGTTTTTTTCAGTATCTTTGATAGGTATCTAGACAAATATCTGTTTTAATTTAGTTCTGCCAATATAATGTAAATAGGATTAGAATACACACCAGAATTTGTGTGTGTGTGTGTGTGTGTGTCTGCGTGAAACAATTTAATACTTTATATTCAGCAATGTTGCATTTAATTGATCAAAATCACTTTTACATTGTTACAAAAAGAAAAATCTATATTTGTACATTATATTATAATTAAAAAAGCAACCAGTCCCTGAAGTCCTCTTATTGGTGGATGCATTCATGGAAACTGCGTTATGGGACGACGTGATGAAGTCATTAAGAAGCTTACAGACGTTGGGGCAGATTAGATTTTGCTCTTCTAATCCAACAGATTATCACTGCACACAACACTACTGACCAGTAGGGCTTTACATTTCAACACAATTCTCACGCATTGATCATTTTCTACGTTCTTCACTGCAAAACATTTCAACGAGGACCCTTTTACAAAATCTGCAGGAAATGGACTGACCACGGATGGGATTTATGTCATGTGGCGATGCGTTTCCATGATAATTCTATTAGAGTCCATGTGGATGTCAGGCTTTAGAAAATACTACACGCTGTCACTAATGGATATAGGTGCTCATCGGTTTGTCAGTTGAGCAGCAGCGACATCAGTTTCTATAAACCTGGTGTGTGGTGTGTGCTGGGAAGACATTCAGCACTTTTAAGAAGAGATAAATGGTATCCTTAGCACCGTGTGGGGACATGGAACCAGAAGCTGAAGAAGCAGAGGAGACATTGTTGGAGTCTGAGATGTTTGTAAACACAATTAGTGACAAACAGGAGGTGAAGAGTGAAGAAGCTATTTTGCAGCCTTGGCAGGTGTTTCAAGAACCAAGCATGGAGTTACAGAGAACGAATATCACAGGAAAGGAGAATGGGAAGAAAACGGTAGGAGTCAAAGAGGATGACGAAGGAAGTGAGGCAAAAAATGAAACGGATAATAAAGTGGCAGAAGCGATGATGTGTGCTGAAAACTTAAGCAACATGCCAACAGATGCTAATGACTCAAGCAGCGACCCAACCAATGAGCCCATCTCCTCAAATTCTCACACCAGCCCACCTGAGACCAATGAATCAGACACAGGGGACAGCAGAAAACTGACAAAGAACCCCAGCTTTGGGAAAACAGTTCGTTTTAAGGAAATTGAAGCAGTGGAAGAAAGGGACAGCTCAGTGGACACCCTTTTTTCAGACTTTGAGATAGAAGAGTGGACCACCACCAGCTTTGAAGAGCTGTTTCTGGCAGATGACTGGAAGGACATTGCAGGTAAGATGTCCATGATGACATACATTTGTTAAGTCTGAGTTCCAAAAAGGTTTTCACAGTGATGCCATAGATTAGGAAAATTTTGGGCTCAAAAAGGAACCTTCCAGTGAATGTTTCTGTGCCATCACATTTACTGTGGTTTGGCAAATCCACACGATTGGGAATTTCATATGAAGGCAAAAGATTTCCCAATGCAGATTTCGCAAAGGGTTCAAGTTGGTCACAGGCATTCACCATGATGACCAATAGAAAGCTGCTTGGTTTGAAAGTAACCTCTGTGGGACTATACATGCTTCCTACATCACTACACTAATGACAATAAACAATGGACCATTTTTGACAACAAAATTTCACCAAAGTGACCCCACATTTAGTGTGAAGAACATTTTAATAATCTGAAGAACCTTATTCTACTATAAATAACTTTTTGTTCCATGGAAAGGTTCCATGGATGTTAAAAATTCTTCATGGAACCATAGATGCTAATAAAGGACCATTATTTTTAAGAGTGCACGCTATACCAGTATTGCTGGACACTAGAATGTTATGTATGGGGTGTTGCTCTAGAGCAGGGGTGCCCAAACTCGGTCCTGGAGGGCCGGTGTCCTGCAGAGTTTAGCTCCAACCCCAGTTAGACACACCTGAACCAGCTAATCAAGCTCTTACTAGGCATACTAGAAACTTCCCAGCAGGTGTGTTAAGGCAAGTTGGAGCTAAACTCTGCAGGACACCAGCCCTCCAGGACCGAGTTTGGGCACCTCTGCTCTAGAGCATGTGATGCTGATGTGCTGATGTCTCCAAAAAGTTTCTTAAATGGACAGTTCTCTCAAAAATGATAATTCTGTCATCACTTATTCCACTCTCACGTTGTTTCAAAACTAAGAAAAATGTCTGTGTTTTTGTCCAAACAATAAAAGTCAACAGAGGTCAGTGTTGTTTTTTGACTCAATAGATTTCATTACATGGACAAAAACAGTTGAAACATTCTTTAAAATATCTTCTTTTGTGTTTCACAGAAGTAAGAATGCCATATAGTTTTGGAACGACATAAGGCAAATGATGACAAAATTTTCATTTTTGGGTGAACTAACCCCTACACTTGCTTAACCAAAATACCTCCTTGGTCAACCAGCTTCACTAACACCCCACTAAGAACATCCCCAACTTTGACACTATTGCTTTAGGGTCTTGTTGATCTCTTTCCCCTCCCCCTGTTTTCCCTCCACTACCCCAACTGCCTGTAGATGAGCGTCTGATAAGGAAGAAGGTGTTACAGGCCAGTCCCGAGAATGCCCTGACCCCGGCTTGGGGTCAGGAAGTCACACTGAAAATGCAGGGTGTGCTGGAGGATAGGACTGTGGTGGAGAAAGACTGCAAGTTGGTCTTCGTTATCGGAGAGGGAGATGTCAACCAGGTGAGGCACAAAGACAGGCAGAGGAGGGGCAGCCTCAAACACACACACACACACACACAAACACACAAACACTCACAAGAAGCCCTGGAACACCCACCTGCATCCTGCCTATCACCTCACACCTGCTGCCTGTTGAGTTTTCCATAGGGATTAACCTGTGTTTTCACATGTTGAGTTCTGTATGTGTTTACCCAAGGCTGTGAAAAAGTCACCTCCTTGCTGATTCACTTTCAGTGAAAAGTTAGTAAGGTCAATCTTTTTTGCCAGCTTGTTTAGACACTTCAGACTGCGTTAAAGCCTTATAATATGCATTGCTTCCTTTAAGTTATCTTGTTGAGATCATCAGTGCATGTACAGTAAAATCTATATGTGTTACCTGAAGTTTAAAATGTGACTGTATAGGCCCTGGAAGAGTGCACCATTTCGATGAAGCAAGGGGAGATCGCATTACTGCTTGCAGATTCACAATACACCTATGGACATCTGGGAAGGTAAGAAGGAAAATATACCTGTATTATTTATCGAATAACATACACACTGACTGAGTTTTGGGCTTAAATGCAAGCAGGTTTGGTGAATTTATGTTCTTTCACATTCTGTTATAAGTTAGAAATTTATAAGAAATAATTTTAGAAAGTTATAAGGAAGTAAGGGAGGGTGGAGGACACTGCTGAACGGGTCTCTTGTGACATCAATTTAAAAAAGTCAAGTGGCTTCTATCCTCACAGGGTGGGACAGAGTCATTTTATACCTGTTGCTCTCAGGGAAAATGGCCTGTCCCCAGTAGCTTGTTAAATGAACCATGAACAGGAGCAGATGGCCTTCCCAAAATACCATTGAGGGCATTCAGGAACCCCTTCCCTCCCCTATCCTCTCAATTCGTTAACTACAGGCAATACTTTTGTTTAACCACTTGCTTCAATCATTTATTTATACCATGAAGGTGAAAATTCAATAAAATGTAAGTTCAGTACTTACATTGTTGATGTGTATATTTTCAGAAGTAAAAAGACAAAACCAGTGTTGTCTGAATCAGCACATTCTCAGGAATGTGTGACATGCATCAGATGGTGGCAGAATTGATTCATTATCAGGCAACCCCCTCACATATGGTGATAGATATACAGATAAGTAATAAGTATGTTCATAAGGCTATATACAGTGGGGCAAAAAAGTATTTAGTCAGCCACCAATTGTGCAAGTTCTCCCACTTAAAAAGATGAGAGAGGCCTGTAATTTTCATCATAGGTATACCTCAACTATGAGAGACAAAATGAGAAAAAAAATCCAGAAAAATCACATTGTAGGATTTTTAAAGAATTAATCGGTAAATTCCTCGGTAAAATAAGTATTTGGTCACCTACAAACAAGCAAGATCTCTGGCTCTCACAGACCTGTAACTTCTTCTTTAAGAGGCTCCTCTGTCCTCCACTCGTTACCTGTATTAATGGCATCTGTTTGAACTCGTTATCAGTATAAAAGACACCTATCCACAACCTCAAACAGTCACACTCCAAACTCCACCATGGCCAAGACCAAAGAGCTGTCAAAGGACACCAGAAACAAAATTATAGACCTGCACTAGGCTGGGAAGACTGAATCTGCAATAGGAAAGCAGCTTGGTGTGAAGAAATCAAATGTGGGAGCAATTATTAGAAAATGGAAGACATACAAGACCACTGATAATCTCCCTCGATCTGGGGCTCCACGCAAGATCTCGCACTTGTCAGGATAGAAGGAAAAATGGATGGGGAAAATACCATCAAATTCTTAAGGAAAATCTTCTGCCCTCTGTCAGAAAGTTGTCAATGGGAAGAAGGTTTACCTTCCAGTATGACAATGACCCAAAGCACACAGCAAAACTGAGCACACAGCGAAAAAGGTGAATGTCCTTGCATGGCCTAGTCAGAGCCCAGACTTAAACCCCATTGAAAATCTGTGGAATGACTTGAAGACTGCAGTCCACAAATGGTCACCATCAAATTTGTCTGAACTTGAGCAGTTCTGCAAAGAAGAGTGGGCAAATATTGCAAAGTCTAGATGTGCAAAGTTAGTAGAGACATATCCCAACAGAATAAAGGCTGTAATTAAAGCAAAAGGGGGTTCAACAAAATACTGACACAAGGGGGTGATCCTTTTTCCAACTCTTTTTCGGGTTTTTTTTTTCCTGACATGTTATTTCTTTCACTTGGATGTTAAAAGTTGCACTGAGTAAATAAAGCTGGATAAAACTAAAACTGTGTCCGTCTTCATTTTAGGCTGCAAACCAACAACGTGATTATTTTAAAGGGGGTAATTATTTTCTATACCTACTGTATATACTGTAAATTGGAAATAATATACATACTGTACCTATATACACATTTTAATATATTACAGATTTTTTATGATTTGTTTATGTTTAACGTATTATAAAATGTTTTAGAAATTTAGCAAATTAGTATTGATATAAATAGCTATTTCATTTTCAATGGGTTTGTATTCACATGTTCACCAAGTAAATCCATGCATGTAGATAAGCCATAAACTGTCATGTGTTTTTGAGAAGACGTTCCAGAGTTTGTGATTTTCCGTCGTGATTCGACTTAAAATCAATTGCACTGGTAACCATGTGCTCTTCCCAGTTCAAAGTGTCTTTAGACTATTGCAGTGTGAGTTTTGTGAATCCTTCTTCAGATTTGTTATTAGTTCAGTCAATATGCAGCTGCAATTCCTGAGTTGCAGATCCCTGCCTGTGATTTAGAGGGTATTTTAGGCATGAATTTACTTATTACAGATTTATTTGTAAGCACAAAATGACCAGAGATTACTCAGAGATCCTGGGGGAATGCAAGTCAGGTTGTTCTCGTATCATGATTGTGATCTTGAGCTTTGGTCTGTTTGTATGCTACCTACACAAGCGCAAATATGTGTATGTATGTGTGTGTGTGTGTGTGAATGCGTGAGTGCGTGTGTGTGCGTGCACAGTGAGGGCTCAGGAGTGATCGTTAGCTTTGGCTTGTAGCCGTGCAGACACATGGGCTGAAGGGACATGTTCCTGTGTGATTCTCTCTCTTTGGCCCTGTTATGAGTGGCGTCCACTGGGAGCTGGCAGTCGTGAGAGGCAGACTGATCCACAGTTAATGGTTGTTTTGATGCTACTGATTAGGACTGTGAGCGGCAAACTTAAATTTAGCCCTGGCCCTAAGGTAAACCTCACAGGCTTCTTGCCAGCAGTTAAAAGGGTGACAGCAAAGCCACTGTGACAACATCTCGTCCCATGGCACTGAATAGGTACAAGGCACACACACATATGCATACACACACACACTTACACACTCACATGCTTCCCTAAAAAGCAACTGCATTTAGCAGAGGTGCTAAAAGCAAACCTATATGTATGTTTGAAATTCAGAATACACTCCTATTAATATAAACATCCCTGTTAGATATTCAAGAACTGAGCCTGATAAAGGCTCCTTTGACAAGGAACTCAAAAAACCGTCACCTCCAACATGTTTTCCTTATTTGACAACTGTGACGGCTTGTCAAAGTGGCAGTATGGCAGATGGAGGGGGTGGGAAGCGGCTGAGAGGAAGCTACTGATGAAAGAAGGGAGGGAGGAAGAGGGGAAAAAAAGAAAAGTTAAAAGGAGCCTGAGAGAAAATCTAATTTAGTTTCTCTCCAGTGGCTGTGGCATGTATTGACTGAGCCCTGTCGGTAGCCTGTTACAGACAGCGCTGTCTCCACCAAGAGCACTTCACAGCTTTTTGTTGGAGCCAACTGCAGACAGACTGATTCAACTGACTGTGATTGGAGTCGCAGCGTTGAGTGGGTGATAGATTTTTTTTCTTTTTGTCTCTAATGCACGCATCAGTGGCTTATTAGCAGAGGCGGACAAAGTACTCAATTCCATTACTTGAGTGAAAGTACAGATACTGCTGGTCAAATATTACTCCATTACAAGTAAAAGTTGTAAAGACAGATTTTTACTTAAGTAAAAGTACAGAAGTACTTGCTTTTAAAAGTACTTAAGTACCAAAAGTAAATTTCCTTTTTTATGTCAATGCACTGTTTTATTATTATACGTAATACTTGCAATACTTCTGAAGCAACTTACAATACATTACACCTACTGAATACACTGACTAGCTTGTAGTATCTTTGGAATAAAGAGCTTTTAGAATGTTAACCTATGGGGGGAAAATTAACACCCCTACCCACCCCACAAAAGCAGGATGGTAGTGATCTCACACAGTTCTGACAGTGTGTGCACACATCTATGTGTAGCCATTCATCCACATTTGAACAGAGTGGACAGTGAAATCCTGTAAATACAGAGTGATAAGGAAGAAAAAAAAATCGAATCTGCTTTAAAACCCAGCAACACAACTATAGCTGTATAACTTTACAACAGCAGCACTGCTTTAACAAAAAAGCAAAACAATCGCTCTCGCTGTACTTTGATGTCACACACAGAATGGTCTGTGCAGTGCTGCTTCA